GGCATTTGCCCTTCCCTTTGGACCTGTTCCCCAGAACCGAGCGTTCGTTCCTGAGCATTGATTGGTAAGAATACCTTTCTAAGCATGCCTGTTTTAGGGTGATCTTGTGCGACATCAGAGAAAATATCTTCCCTAATCAGATGGTTTTCTAATTGGCCATCTTTTTGTGCCAGTTTGTATTGAAAGTACCTTTGGCCACAGGGAAATTGCTCAGCTTGGATAGTCTGCCTAGGATGCTCAAGCTGAGCTCCCCTGCACGCACTCTCCCTGCGCAAGTGGGAGAGATGATTAGCCGGACGAGGAGGTAGTGCTGCTGGTTCAGGCTCAGGAAGATTGTCTTCCCAAACCTCTCTGCCAAGAGTTGGAGACAGGCCAGGTGCGTGCTGAGAAAAAAGTGAGGTTAGTTTTCCTCTACTCCCTTTCTTCCCACATCCTGGTGAGCTGCCGGGTGTTATCTTTCTGCCTCTGCAGACACACCTTTTGGCACTGACCTCCTTGTCTCTCATATCTCTCTTGGTTATTTTTCTCTTTTCATATTCCATTATGGCTGGATAGAGGATATCTGTTACCTCATCCATAAACCATGTCATTATATTTGTAACTGCATCGGTCATTTCTTTGGTCTTGTTTTTCTGTAGCAGGAACAAATGAGAAAGGGCAGTAAAGTGTTAATTAATTCCTTCATTCTCCCTTCTGCACAGGACAACAGCGCTCTACTGGGTGTAATTCAAACTTTTAGGATAAATAATAATAGCCCCCCATGAAAAGTGACCTCAATTCATAGATGCTTGGGTCGGAAGGGACCTCGACCAATCACCGAGTCCAACCCCCTGCCCGTGCAGCAAAGAGCGCTGGGGTCAGGGTGGGATATAAATCTAACAGAATAAATATAGGAAATAAAGAAAGGGCCAGTTCAGGAAAGATCAGTGAAGGAGCAACTAGGGTCAGCATTGCTTCTCCCTGAGCTTGTTTCTGAAGGGCCGACATGAAGACCATGGAAGAAAACGCTGACCATCTTGAAGGCCAGCCAGGGGAGGTTTGTCACTGATTTCAGTGGGGCCAGGGTTCCCCCACAGGAGCCAAGAGATGACTTAATTTTCACCAAAGCCCCCTCCGCTGAGAAAGCATTTATCAGCTAGCTCGCTTCTCCTTATGGAGAAAGAATCAATTAATTTGCAGATGTTTAATCCACCTCCTACCAAAACTCTAAGGCTGTGCTCTGCCTGGGCAGTGCTGCCCCCTGCTCTTCCTCGCGATGAGGCATCTAAACACTGTCTGCTGTGCAGCTTTTATGTTTTTCAAGGACGGCGCAGGCTTATGTTAATGAGCACCTTCACTCCAGTGCAGGAGGAACATAGTTTTACCCCATTTTTCACTTAGCAGCTTTGACCCAGTTGCACTATCTACTAATCTGTGGCCACCGGGCTGTAGTGCCTTCGGTAGTTTGGTCACGCCGGTGTTTCCCTTGGTGTTAAGTAAAGGGTGTGGCGGGCCAGTAGGGGGCGCTCCTGCGTTGAGCCGCCCACCTCCCTGCGCCTGACCACCTTCCAGGCTCCGAGTGCTTCCCTTAGGGTGCCTCCCGTCCGGCCAACCCCTTCCCTGGAGCACACCCGCTAGCCTGGGGTTCCCGCTGCCACCATCCAAGGCTCTGGACTCACTTCTGGCTCTGTGCACCTTGGAAAACACAGGCCTGATCGTCCAATGGGTACTAGACCCAATACAAGCACTTGGGGCACTGTAACACACCTTGCTGATGCCCCCTGAGTGGGGTTTTGCAAGCTCAGGGACCTAAACTTGTCATGGCATTTGCCCTTCCCTTTGGACCTGTTCCCCGGAACCAAGCGCTCGTTCCTGGGCATTGATCGGTGAGAATAACTTTCTAAGCATGCCTGTTTTTGGGCGATCTTGTGCGACATCAGAGGAAATATCTTTCCTAATGAGATGGGTTTCTAATTGGCCATCTTTTTGTGTCAGTTTGTATTGAAAGTACCTTTGGCCACGGGGAAATCGCTCAGCTTGGAAAGTCTGCCTGGGATGCTCAAGCTGAGGTCCCCTGCACACACTCTCCCTGCGCAAATGGGAGAGATGATTAGCCGGACGAGGAGGTACTGCTGCCGGTTCAGTCTCGGGAATATTTTCTTCCCAAACCTCTCTGCCAAGACCTGGAGACAAGCCAAGTGATTGTTGAGAATAAAGTGAGGTTAGTTTTCCTCTACTCCCTTTCTTCCCACATCCTGGTGAGCTGCCGGGTGTTATCTTTCTTCCTGTGCAGACACACTTTTTGGCACTGGCCTCCTTGTCTCTCATATCTCTCTCGGTTATTTTTCTCTCTTCATATTCCAGTATGGCTGGATAGAGGATATCTGTTACCTCATCCATAAACCATGTTGTTATATTTGTAACTGCATCGGTCATTTCTTTGGTCTTGTTTTTCTGTAGCAGTAACAAATGAGAAAGGGCAGTAAAGTGTTAATTAATTCCTTCATTCTCCCTTCTGCACAGGACATCAGAGCTCTCCTGGGAGCAATTCAAACTTTTAGGATAAATAATAATAGCCCCCTCAATTCATAGATGCTTGGGTCAGAAGGGACCTCAACCGACCACCAAGTCTGACCCCCTGCCCGTGCAGCAAAGAGCGCTGGGGTCAGGGTGGGATAAAATCTAACAGAATAAATATAGGAAATAAAGAAAGAGCCAGTTCAGGAAAGATCAGTGAAGGACCAACTAGGGTCAGCATTGCTTCTCCCTGAGCTTGTTTCTGAAGGGCCGACATGAAAACCATGGAAGAAAACGCTGACCATCTTGAAGGCCAGCCAGGGGAGGTTTGTAGCTGATTTTGGCAGGACCAGGGTTCCCCGACAGGAGCTGAGAGATGACTTAATTTTCACCCAAGCCCCCTCCGCTGAGAAAGCACTTATCAGCTAGCTTGCTTCTTCTTACGGAAAAAGAATCAATTAATTTGCAGACGTTTAATCCATCTCCTACCAAAACTCAAAGGCTGTGCTCTGCCTGGGCAGTGCCGCCCCCTGCTCTTCCTCGCAATGAGGCATCTAAACGCTGTCTGCTGTGCAGCTTTTATGTTTTTCAAGGACGGTGCAGGCTTATGTTAATGAGCACCCTCGCTCCAGTGCAGGAGGAACATAGTTTTGCCCCCTTTTTGCACTTAGCAGCTTTGACCCAGTTCCACTATCTACTAATTTGTGGCCACCGGGCTGTAGTGCCTTCGGTAGTTTGGTCACACCATTCTTTCCCTTGGTGTTAAGTAAAGGGTATCTGTCATACAATCCATCCCAACACCGCACATCTTCTAGGATTATATCCCGCTCATTTGTTTCTGAAAGGAGCGTGCAAGATTGTGGGAAATGATGCCATTTGGGCGGGCGAGTCCTGCACAACAATACATGTCATGGCAGGTGCAGGTCGTCTTCCAGTTCTGACATCTCCCCATGCCCTGACTTCTTACCTGGGAGGAGGATCTTTTCTTGTTTGTGCCTTTATTAGCAATTGGCACAAATTGAGGCTGCTAGTTACCTGACATGAAAAGCAGTAAAGTCTAGGACAGTCCGAACTGTTGAGTGTAAACTGCTTGCAGATCTGGGAATTTGTGTTGCAGGCTCTGCTATAAAAGCCCAATTCTGGGGGTGAGTAAGGGTAAAAGCTTGGCCCTACTGAATTAAATGGGAGTTTGGACAGTGACTTTGGTGTAGCCAGAGTTTTGCCCAAGGTACTTAACCATTTTACTGGAAAGACAGTGAAAAGACAGATGCAACAGTGGAGACAACACCAGGAGATCAGGACCTTGGAGCATTGTAGCACTGCTCATCAAATTTAAAAACCACCAGGGCCCAGTCGGCTCTGCGCTGGACCCTGATCCTGCAAACATTGATGCACCGTGCTAAGAAGCAAGTATGGAGCAGTCCTGTTGAGCTCCCCAGGATCACAGACATGCTTGAAATAAGGCACGTGCATCTTGTTAGATTGGGGCTGCAGTCATCAACTTCTCTGTGACCGTCTAGATAGAATTGCCAGCAGACCCATAGGCGACTATTGACTCTAGCCATTTACCGCTCGCCTTGTTAAGGTATATATGATATCTACACATATAAATCTAAATTGTACAGTTGCTTTGTTTCTAACCTTCATTGATTTTCAAAGCACGTTGTGGGTTTTTTTGCTTTGTCATTTTTTAGGTCCGTCCATCTGAATTTTTTTTTCTGAGAAGCTTTTGAGTTTTTTGTACTCCGTCGAAACCCTGGCTGAATCTGCTGAGAAACATGAAAATGGTGGGTTACTATCACTTCTGCTGCAATCAATGTCTGCTCCACTCCCCTGTTTACCTGGGTTTCTTTTTCCTAAAGGGATTGTGGCTTTTTTTAAAAGATTCCAAGAAGTTGCTAATACCATTTGTGAACTAGAGCTTGGAGGTTGGCAAACTGTTACAGTGGAGTGTATTGCTGGTGAATCAACATGGGCCATGTCCTGCCTTTGCAAAGGCACAATGAGAGGGGAAGGATGCCCCTTCCCCTGATGAGCCAGGATGGGGAACATGCTCCATCTCTCTCTTTTCTAGGACATGTTCTAAGTCACCTTCTCCATGCATTTAAGAATAAGGCCTTGCAGTGGGATCTGAGATATCCAACTGAGTGCTTGGATGCTGGGCAGGGAGCCAGGAATGAGGAAAAATGGCACTGGGACCAGGTCAAGTTGGAGGGGACCCGAAAGCAGAGGTCAGGCTTGTTGGGGACAGAAAGTGTGCACAGTGCCATGGGGTCACTCGGGTGAAACCCTCTTCAGACTCCTGAATATCCATGAGTCTCCCCACTCTTGTGCTCTCAGCAAATTTCTGCGAGCCTTACTTATAAAGTGCCCCCCGGCACCACCACCCACACCTCTCTCTAAACTGGTGGCCGAAGAGGTGGACAGCCCACTGGGTCACAATCACCTTGCGCTAAGCAACCCCCTGGTCATTGTCTTCTAGCATCAGATGCTCTTCCCCATGATTGGCTACATCTGACTTATTTGAATAAAGGCCATATCCTTCCTCCCAGTAGGGTTGGAGTACTATTGTAGCCATGGTGGTCTGAGCAATATGCAAGGATCAAAGTGATTTTAGTGACATCTTTTCTTGGACCCACCAAATAGTTGGGAAAGTATTCCCCACTAAAATTTCTATTATTTCTGCCATGTTTTTCTCTTTGTTCCAGTCTTTTTGCTTAGTTAGAGAAGTTTCTGGGCGCCAGGTGCCCTTCTTCTGTGTTTTTGTCTAACATTACTCCCAAATTTGACACCTGGTCCAATAAAAGTCACCCCCAAAAGTGTCCCCACCACTTCCTTCTCACTTGCACTGCCTGCGTCAGGCACAGAGAGACAGAATCCCTAGCCACATGCTTGACTTCCTCAACCCCTACCCCCTCCTCCTCCTGCCCAACCCTTCTCCTTCCTGCCCACCCACCTGAGCCCTCCCAGTCCCCCCAGATCCCTTCAAGCACAGCACAGCTGCTCTGCACAACCAGGGGTAGGACTAGGGGATGCAGGAGAAGAAGGTAATGGAGAAGTAAGGGAGTGAGGAAAGGCCCCTGTGGGTGTCAGAGGAGGGTGAGGGGAGCTCTTGCTCAATGTGCAGCGGTCTGACTCCGGTCCTGCTGTACTGAAAACTAAAGGTTTGCTCCAAGTCAGAGTGGCAGACAGCTGGGCAGATGGACAGAGCGACAGGGGAATATGGGGATCAAAGCTCCCACCCATTCAAAGGGGACAACTAGGGATTTCATCCCCAGTCCAAACATTTCAGGGGGTCTGAACTGGGTAAGATTTGGCAGAGATCACAACTGGCTCTTACACCAAAGTTACTCTCGTGTTGTTGCATGCCAGGGCCCTGTGACCTGGGTCTGAATTACAGCCTGTGTCTCAGAAGGGACACAGCCCACTCAATAACCCTGAGGAACAGTTGGGGACCAAGAGGAGAGGGGGGCCCAACTGCACCGCTTGGCCCAAACTGGAGAGCTTCTGGGGTGGCAC